AAAAAAAAAGAAAAAACTTGTTACTTAAAAAAAAAAAATGCGAAAATGAAACAAAACCACTAAATCCGTAAATCCCAGGAGCTAAATCACAAAACAGTGTCCTGCCACCTTAACTTTTCACATGACCCCTGAGCTAAAAAATTTAAACCAAGAGCCGGTTCCCTTTTAAAAAGCCATCGTTTCCATGGTAAACGGAAGTAGGAACATCTAGACTTGTAAATAGCAGGCGACCCCCTTCAGCAATGCTGCTGGGCACCAAGGAGTGTTGTTCACCTTCACAGTGACCTTGTTGGATATTCAGGAAAATGTTGCCAAAACGTTCATCACCTGATGGCATTAAAGAGTGTGTTTCTCACGGCTGAGTCACTCTGGGGGAAAAGCGTTGACAAATAAGACAATGCCACATCAGCCCACTTGCCTTCAGCATTTTGCACGTAAGGAGTCCCAAAGTCCAGTTAGACCCTGGTCAACATAACTGTGCTTTATATTTTGTTTTAAATACAGAACTCCATCTCGGGGCGCCTGGGTGGCTCAGTCGGTTAAGCGTCCGACTCCAGCTCGGGTCGTGGTCTCACGGTCCACGAGTTTGAGCCCCTCGTCGGGCTCTGGGTCTGTGCTGGCAGCTCAGAGCCTGGAGCCTGCTTCAGATCGTGTGTGTGTGTCTGTGTGTGTGTGTGTGTGTGTGTGTGTGTGTGTGTGTGTGTGTGTGTGTCTTCCCCTCCCCCTCTTGTGCTCTGCCTGTCTCTGTCTCTCAAAAATAAATAAAATGTAATAAAAAATTTTTTTAAATAATTAAATATAGAACTACATCTCTTACTTCTAAGTATCTCTCAACTGGACTCTCCTTGAATAGTCTATGTATCACGACAGCGATCAGCAACAAGAATGCGGGGTTGTGATTCAATCAAAGCACAACGTTGCTTTATACGTTGCTCTCTCACACCAGAGGCTTGCGAACAGTTGGAAGGTTTCAAGCACTGTCTCAGCTGAATGCCAGGACCGCACTGTGCAGCCGAGTTCCCCCTAAGCCGGGATTTACAGCTCAGAGCGAAAGCGTCCCAGTGTTCCTCTAAGCCTAGGCCATGAACACAAATCAAAAGCCTCAAGCAGGGCTTACACGGAGGCAGCGTTCAGAAGCATCATCGTGACGGGAGCGGTGGAGCTTTGTGAGTCACTCCATAGTCACCAGGATTTCTTGGCCGATTTACGAACAGCGTCGGTCTGAAGAAAATGTTTCGTTGGACTGATGAAATACTGATGCCTCTGCGATGGTGGCTTTTTTTGACTGAGAGCTCCGGCCCCAAAGCTGCTGAGTGTTCTGAAAACTCGAACCACGGAGAACGCCTTTTGTTCTACGGATGATGACATGATTTGCCCCTTGTTGATTCTGTGAAATAAACAACGCGGTAGGAAATAACTGGTTCGGGGGGGTTTGGACGTTCCGCTTCCTAGGAGCGGGTGTCTCACAGCCGCCTGTGCCTTTGCTCGTGTGGTGCCACGCCAGGAGAAATTGAAACAGCAAACTACGAAAATAAAGTTTGTATCTGACCTTATTTTCCTGAGTGTTACGTCTCAGAAAATTAACAACAAAAGACATCGGAAGGTGAAATTCTCATAATTGGGATTCAGGATATAAAAGTCTTTTTTTTTTTTTTTTTTAACTTTTTTTAAGAGAGAGAGAGAGAGAGACTGAGTGGGGGACATACAGAGAGACGGAGAGAGAGAATGCCAAGCAAGCTCCATGCTGTCAGCACAGAGTTTGACATGGGGCTCGAACTCACAAACCATGAGATCATGACCTGGGCCAAAACCAAGAGTCAGACACTCAACCGACTGAGCCTCCCAGGTGCCCCATGGGAATTCAGGACATAAAATTCTTAACAGATGAGCTAAATTTAAAAGTAGAGATTCGGTTAAACTTTCCTTTGAGATGCAGAACCTGAAAAATATGTACTGCTTTTGATTATTAAATTACATTATAGTTGAATGCCACCCAGTTCGTTAAGACAGAAATGAATAACTAAAAGGTACAAGATTGGGAGAGGAAGGAACAACCATTTATTATTAGCAGAACATCATTGTACATGCAGTTCATCTAAAGTAATCTATAGATATACCATTGGAATTAACAGGAAAAAAATAGGCTTTATAAGGTTAACGTTACTAGATACAAACTCAATTGTATTTTTATATGCCATCAAGAAAGAATGAAAAATTAATGGTATTTTAAAAAGATAGATTTCATAATAGGGTCACAAAGACAACTATCCAGGAATTTATCTAAGAATTCACAGACAAGACCTGTATGGAGAAAATTCTAAACCATAGTGAGAAATAGTTGAAATACCAATACACCAGCAGGAGAAGGGCAGAGAGAGAGAGAGAGGGAGAGAGAGAGAGAATGTTAAGCAGGCTCTACACTCAGCACAGAGCCTGACACAGGGTTCAGTCCCATGACCCTGGGATCATGGCCTGAGCTGAAATCAAGAGTTGGATGCTCAACTGACTTGAGTCACCCAGGTACCCCATTACCACTCATTATTTTAAATACATCACTTTCCACCAAAGCGCGAGTGAAAATCCAATGAAAATCCCTGATTTTTGTGTGGAATTTAATGAACCAGCTTTACAATTTATAAGTGGACATACCAATGGCCAAGAACAGTCAAGATACGTTTAATAAAAACACCCTGGGAGGACTTATCTTAACAGCTATCGGAATTTATCATAAAGTTAGAATAATTTGGGGCATGTGATACTAGCACAGGGACGGTCACGTAGACCTCAGCCAAAGTAAACTTCACAGACACAGAGCCTCCCATACACCAGTATTCCATATTGATAACGTGCGGGCAGTAGGACCTCTTCGATCAATGGTGCCGGGGCAACCATATCGAGGGGGAAATGCAGTGACCCAGACCTTAAAGAAAAGCACACAAAAAATTGGTTGCAGGTGGATTAAGGGCATGAAAGAAGTAGCTACGAATTAAAGCTTTTAGGACAGAGATGATCTTCATGACCTCAAGGCAGGTATGTCTTTCTTCAATAAGGCACAAAAAACCACTGCCGCTGAATCCCCGCGAACGTGCTTGCGTGCATGCAAACGGAGTCCGCGTGATTCAGTACCCTGCAGGCAGAAACGTATAAATAGCCTTATGAATTGCCAGCCAGTCAATGAAATAAAGCACGAAGGACCAAGAACACTGAGCAGAGCTAAGGCATCTGCAACGCTTCCACACCAGAAGAGTAGGAACGTTCTATACCAAGAACTCAATGAAAAAGATGGAAAAAACACACATGTTTTGGTAAATTTTTGTAAATATCATAAAATAAGAAAAGAAAACAGAAAAAAGGAAGAAGTCAATGGGTTAAAGGACTATGTGATAGAAGATATTATCAAAACCTACAACTGCTTCTTTGAAAATGTCTACAAATCAGACAAAACCCCAGGAAGAAAAAGAAAAAACAAAAACAAAAACAAAAACAAATAACCTTTCTCATGCACAATTGTTCCAGAAAAGAGAAACAAGGTCAGTTGACCAAGGAATTTTAACACCAGATAAGGAAGGCTACTGAGCAAATAATGACCCTCAGCCTTACTTCTCTGATTTCAGCCTGTGCGACGTTGATAAAAGTTATAGTTGTCATCAGAAGCCACACATTTTCTTTAGCAGTTTAATGGAAAACCTTTCAATAATGGGAAGACTGATGACATAAATATTTTAAAAATATAATTTATAGTGGGGCTTCTGGGTGGCTCAGGTGGTTAAGTGTCTGACTCTTGATCTCAGCTGAGGTCTTGATCTCATGGTCGTGAGTTTAAGTCCCGTGCTGGGCTCCACACTGGGTGTAAAGCCTACATATATATTTTTAAAATTTATTTTTATGTTTATATATTATGTTATGTTATATATTTTTATTTATATATTTTATTTATTTATATTTATATATTTTTAATGTATATTATTTATTTATATTTTATTTATATATATATTTTTTGAATTTTATATTGTATATATTTATTATATATATATATTTCATATGTATATGAATGTCATGTTTGGTGACATATATATATATATATACCTTTACATTTGGTGACATATGTATATACATGTCACCAAACATGACATTTATAGCATGTTATACAGATAAAGGACAACAGTAGAACATTCCTATGAGCCCTTTACCTTGACCATATTAAGAATACAATAGTAGATACATTGGGGTGGAAGTCTTTTCTTAGCATATTTATCTTTGTTCTGTGTTATAATAAAATTGAGACCTTGTAATTATTTTTAGTCATTCTGTGCCATTTTAATTTTTTTTTTTAATCTAGAGTTTCATTGTTAACTCATATGGATTGACTTGTGTATCTTCACAGAAATTCCATTTACTTATTTTATTTATTTAAAAATCGAAGTTAATATTAAAATCTAATTTTGGGGGCGCCTGGGTGGCGCAGTTGGTTAAGCGTCCGACTTCAGCCAGGTCACGATCTCGCGGTCCGCGAGTTCGAGCCCCGCGTCGGGCTCTGGGCTGATGGCTCAGAGCCTGGAGCCTGTTTCCGATTCTGTGTCTCCCTCTCTCTCTGCCCCTTCCCTATTCATGCTCTGTCTCTCTCTGTCCCAAAAATAAATAAACGTTGAAAAAAAATTTTTTTAATCTAATTTTTAATCTATATCCCAGCACTATGATGATTTTCTCTCTAAAGTCTCAATGCTTTTGTCTCATAATGTCACTGCTATGTACATGGATGGGTTGACCCGTGTAATCAAAACACACCTAATATCAAGCAGGTGGAGGTAATTGGCTGTGGGGAAATAGGTTCTACTTACAAAAGTGGTTTAGAAAAAAGCTTAGGGCAGAAAGCCACCACGACAGGGCAAAAACTTCCGAGGTTAGCTAACAAGATATTGTAATGGGATCACGAGTACTTTCCACCTGACACCGATGTACTTCGGTCACAAACTGCACTTGCCTCCCCCCAGACCCTTTGCTTCTTACACATACGAGTTAATGACGACCGTCTGATTGTTTTCTCCGCATTCACCACATGTGTAAGATCTTGCTTTCTTCACATTCACCATGTGGGTAAGATCTTGTGAGCTCAGTAAATACGAAGACAAAACCCCTGTTCTGGGCTCTTGTCTCCTCCTGGACACTAGCCTCTCTCATAGTCAATTCTGCATCCACTCTCTTGCTGCACAAGAGAGAACTCCACACTCATAGTCGGTGACAATTAGCCAAATCACCAATTCTCAAAGTGTGGTCTGAGAGCCTCAAGGATTTCCCCCCCACCCCTTGCAGAGAATGCACAAGGCCAAAGTCATTTTCATAACACGAAAGTGGCTTTTTTTTTTTTTCACTGCATCGGTCGTTGCAATGACGTTTCCAAAGCCAAATGTGGCAAAGCGGCTCTAGTCTTAGTACAAAGCAAACAAGGGCACCAAACCCTATGTGTGGCCGTGAAATTCAACACTACCATGCACACGCGTTGAAATAAGTGCTGATTCTGCCGAGGAATGAAAACAGTAAAAAGCCTTAATCTGTAGGTGTGTTTCTTTAGTATCGTGTGTGATGACTTGGGACCCAGCCCTAGAACTTGGTGTTGCCTGGGGTGGGGAGGGGGGGAGCAGGAAAGAATCTCCAGGAAATCACGTGTGCAGTAATGGAAACAGCACCTTTTCCATGAAACACCATTTCTGCTCGATCGAGCGAGGAAAGACAAGCTGCGGTTGTCAGACCTGGATTTTGGCAGACTCTTTCTGCAAATTGAGCAAAGTGAACCTGTCAATTCGGAGAACATAACCGACGTCATTTGTCCCCCATGTTTAGATTTGAACTTTCCAATGAAAATGAGCATTTCGGGATTTTTGACAGCTTCCCCATACTTACTGACTTTTCTGATAATGTGCGTGGTGAAATCCTAATGGGTGTGATTTTGATGTTACAGAATTAAACGTGTCAACATTTGGAAGATTTACGTTAGTCAGGGAATCGATAGTTTTTAAGTGACCACCGTGCGATGTTATGCTGTCACACATGGGCAAACGATCCAGTTACAGCGTAAAACAGACTAATGGATTTCGTGTAAATAAGCAGGAAAAGGTGATTGGTATGGTTTCGGATCCTATGTTGCAACTAACCTTTAAGAAACTACTACTTGTCGGGGCGCCTGGGTGGCTCAGTCGGTTGAGCATCCAGCTTCGGCTCAGGTCATGATCCTGTGGTCCGTGGGTTCGAGCCCCGCATCGGGCTCTGTGCTGACAGCTCGGAGCCCGGAGCCTGTTTCGGATTCTCTGTCTCCTGCTCTCTCTGACCCTCCCCCATTCATGCTCTGTCTCTCTCTCAAAAATAAATAAACGTTCTGTCTCAAAAATAAATAAACGTTAAAAAAAAATAAAAAAAAAAGTACTACTTGTCAAGGTTTGTTAGAATACCAAAGGAGAAATATCCATAATGAGCTGACCAGGCTATTCGAATATTCCTCCCTTTTCCAGACACATGTGTAGGTGAGGCCAGAATTTCTTCGTATACTTCAAAGAAAAGAACATATTACAACAAATTGAATGCAGAAACACAGGTGAGAATCCAACTTTTATTAAGCTCAACATTAAAGATATTTGCAGAAAGCCTCCCTTTCTCTCCCTCTCAAAACAAATAAATACACTTTTTAAAAAGTGGGGGAGGGGTGCCTGGTGGCTCAGTCAGTTGGTGTCCAACTCTTGGTTTCAGCTCAGGTCGCGATCTCATGGTTCGTGGGTTCAGGCCCCGCGCTGGGCTTTGCACTGACAGTGAGGAGCCTCCCTGGCATTTTCTCTCCCTCTTTCTCTGCCCCTCCCTCTCTTTCTCTCTCTCTCTCTCTCTCAAAATGAATAAAGTTAAAAAATATATTTGCAGTAATGAAAAACAATGTCACTCACTCTTCTTAGTAATTTTTTAAGAAAATAGTTATCTTTTATGAAAATATAAAATATATACGTTAATGTGTAATGGGTTCTGTTGCCATTTCAAATAAGTTAATAGTTTTCAAGGCTCTCACTTTTAAGTTTCTAATATGGATGTTATACAACGGTAGAAAGGAGTTCTTTGGAATCTTCAGTCATTTTTAACAGCGTAACGGCTTCTGGAGAGCAGATCGTTTGAAAGTCCTTGGACTAGAGATCTACTTAGTAGCAGGCTATGTATTTAAAAGAGAATAATAAAAGAAAGAAGCCACCAAAAGGAAGAAAATTTAAAATGCATCTGCAATCAAAATAATGCATTTTGTAGACAGTACGCATATGCAAGGGGGCTTGCCTACTAAACTGGATGTCTATTAAAGTCACAGGGGCAGGAAAAGGTATTGAAAAGGAGTTAAGAACACTGAACAGTTGTGGTGGCTGTGCACCAATCTACAACTGTAATGGGAGAAACAGCAGGAAATAAAGAAATAAAGGGGCTTCATTTTCCTCTTTAAGAGTGGTCAACCCTTGGTAAGCCCAACTTTCTGTGGGATCTGCGAAGGCCGTTGGCTCAGACCCGCCTCACCAGCCCTGCGGACGCGCCTCCCTAAATGTCCCCCGCTGTCTGTGGCCGTTGCCTCACCCACTTTGCCAGGCATGTCTTCCTATCTGCCCTTTCGGTAGGCAACCTAGATGCTTTGTCTTGTCCGGGTTTTGTCGCAACGTAATGATAAATTCACCGTGGTCGTTAAAACCCAGTTGCATGACCACGGACACCAGTATGACTCAGAAAGTCCTCAACAGTCCCGAACGGCAGTACATGAGGAAGAGTGAAATCCGATGGCTAAAATTCCAAAATGGCTCCAGGAAAGAAAGCAAAGCAAAACTCTTTTGTCCAATTCTGTAGAGGTATCTCTGAATGTCTGTGGCTTGTTCCAATAAATGTATATACGGAGTCAATAAGACAGATTGGTGAAACACAAACTTTTACCGTCAAGGGCAGACGCTTCAACAGACCCAGTAAATGGTTTCCTTCCCACCTGAGCTCTGCCTCTCCTGAGACGTAATCAGCGGAGGCACAGACAGAACACCAAACGATCTCTGTGTGAACTGGGATGACTTTGGGAAGGAGGACGGCTCAGCAGAACACCCAAAGTGCCTGTCAATTCACTCTCCAAGGCAGACCTTGGTACAGTCCCCCAGAAAGAAAGTTCCAGTCACCAGAAGAGATGTGCCTACTCGTGTCACTTCTTCCCGTCATTGAAGGAGAAGCCCTCAACTCAGTATTTTTGACAGGGTGGCTCCATCTAAGTGAGAAACTAGGAACAGGGTATCCAGGGGTCTCTGCCCGAATCTCACTCAGACTCCAAAGAGAGGATGTGACAGAGGCCCAAGGCCCCCCAGGGGAGTCAGCTCCCAAAAAGCCTAGAAACACGAGGCTCTCCTACACACTTGATGATAGCAAACACTCAATTTACTGATTACTCCACCACAGTACTTTAACATACTTTCATGTTTTTTCAGAATTTTTTAAAAGGTTTACTTATTTATTTTTGAGACAGAGACAGAGCACAGGCAGGGGAGAGACAGAGAGAGAAGGAGACACAGAACCCAACACAGTCTGCAGGCTCTGAGCTGTCAGCACAGAGCCCAACGTGGGGCTCGAACCCGTGAACCGTGAGATCGTGACCTGAGCCCAAGTCAGATGCTCAACCATCTGAGCCACCCAGGTGCTCCAACACACTTTCCTGTTTAATCCTTACTTCAGCCTTAGTCTTTTTTTTTTTCCCTTTACATACAAAACAACACAACCACAGAGAAGATGAGTAATATTCCGAAGGTCTCAGGAGTCTTCGATCGAGGATTTGGGCATCTCTGAATTGATAAGATTTTTAAAAAATATTTCACTCACAGCCAGGGAATAAAAGTAGTTTGAGATTTGTCAATAATATTTTTTCTTTGATTTTGCGATCGCCGCAGTGGCTGAAGTGGGGCTCCGAACGCAAACGGTGAACACCTTTTTAAATTTTGTCACGGGGAACGTGGTATTTATTGCTCATGCCTCAGCGGCCATACCACAGGAATCGTGTTTGTATGATATAAAATCAGGTTTTCTTTGTTTCACTGCAGATTGTGTTGTAGCAGAACGGACTACCCGTCCTCTGACGTGGAGAGATAGATTTCAACAAGGCAAGTCCACACCGCCTGATTTCGCCTACTAACTTGCAGCTCAGAAAATAACAAAGGACCCTGGGCGGTGATCCGCAGCCAGATGCACGTTCTTCCCCGTCGGAGAGGGTGAAGCTAAGTAGAGAGAGAACAGTGAGTCACGCACGGTCCTTCTTGCCCACACGGTCATCACCATGGCAACCACAGTTGCCAGGTGGAGAATTCCCCCACACATCATAATTGCTATGTCCACTCTCAGCAGATGAGAAGGGAAGTGTCCACAAGTTTGGCCGGAGTTGAAATACTCCAAAGTAACTAACACAGAGCGTCGACATCATGACCACTAATAAGCTGTGATTATGTGACATTTATTGCCGTAAAAACCGTGTGCATTTAGACATAATAATGCTGGACGTTACCAATAAAACCCCTCACGAGATATATCTGCCGTGTAGATGTATTACCTCGCTTAGTGACGAACACGGCACACATGAAAAAAAACCACGATGCTTTTAAAATGCTAATATCCTTCAAATAAGAAGAGAAATTGAAGCAATTTTAATCTTCTGAAAGAGGAGGATGCTTACAGTTTCTCTGGAACGATAACGTGGAAAGGATATTATGGAATCTCCCAGAGAAGGCATTAGGTGAGGAGGATGTCCGTTCGTCCATACGTCTAAAATCTGCAAAGAATAATAAAGAAACTCAGAAATAACCATCAGAGAAGTAAATGGAAATCCGTTTTTTTTTTCTATCAGCACGAAAGGGCACTAGGGTTTATTCTGTCTTCCTGTTGGAGGTCAGAGCTATTTTAAATGTTTTATTTTCCCCAACTGTATTGTTTTAGGTTCTTCGTCTGCGCATCCGTGTATGTTTGCAACAGCGTATAAGGACGCACAGGCTTTAATTTCCTAATGCTTTTGGTGCCTGGTATTTTGGTAAAAATGTAGACAGGGCCCTGACGATGAGACCCACATTTCCAGGATCCCCGGACGGAGCCCGCCGGGAGCCGGGCACAAGGCTCGGGTACAAGGGCAAGTCAATGCCAATTTCCTGCGCCCGTTACCTCCAATCTCCTTCTGAGGGTGCTCTCACTTTTCTACTTTCGTATGAGAGGTCTTCTAATTTTCTTTCTCCAAAATGGGATGTGTATTCCAAATAATTCCTCTAAAGGTAGAAAATGTTCCAGAACCGAGGGACGAAACTCTGAGAAAATCCTGCGTATGTAAGTCTGACAAAAGAAACGTGGGCTTCAAAGAACCAACGGAGCTCTTTGTCAGCAAAAAGGAGAGAGTGGGTGCAAGATGATCCGATGGGGAAAATACGCAAAAGACTGGAGCAGATACTTCAGAGCACGAAACCTGGGGCTGGGTGCAGGAAATATGGAGTAAGCACCCTTCACGGCGTCTCTCCCGCTGAGTTCAACAACGGGTCCTGGACCGAGTGTGCAAACCCGCTATCTGAAAATACTGTAGAGGAAATGACCATATGCTGATTGGGGAAGGACGGCGAGGTTGCAAGTTCCCCCTAGACCAGGAGTGTGTTTATCATTTCCATTCCTTCCAGAATCACTTGGCTGAGCTCAAATACAGACTAGAACCCATAGTGTGCCTCGGATGGGGACAGAGCAGCCCCAGAGACCCTTATGTCCCTGTGTTTTTTCACATTGTTTTCATATTTTATTTATTTTCCAGAGAGAGAGAAAGAGAGAGCATGAGTCGGGGAGAGGGAGAGAGAAAGGGAGACCCAGAATCCAAAGTGGGCTCCAGGCTCCAAGCTGTCAGCACAGAGCCCGACACATGTCTTGAACTCATGAACAGGGAGATCATGACCTGAGCCAAAGTTGGCTGCTTAACTGACTGAGCCACTCAGGCACCCCTCTCTGTGTTTTTTTAATTTTTATATATATATATATATATGTATAATATAATATATATATCATATATATTATATTATACATATATATTTAGCCATGCCAACAGTATATATGTGTTATCGTTCATGAATGGCCAAAAGACTTACCTGGTCCATTACTGTTAGTATAATTGCAGATATGAAACGTCACTTAGTGGAGTGAGGAGGACAGTTATATATATATTTTATATAT